CCCCCCCCCTCCCTACTCCCTCCACCACCCTCCCCTCCCTCCCCCCCCCCCCCCCCTCCCCCAACCACTCATCCATCCCTCCCAACACAGAGCTATGCAGGGTACGGGCCTCTTGAGGGCTTGGTCGGCACTGGGTGCTGCGCCGCGGAACAGTGGTTGGTCGATGGGCCAGGCTATGGTGGTGGCTGGCTCGGCGAGGTGCTTCTCGGCAAGCTCTGCGACGGCGAGCTGGTTTGGTGGGAGTGGGAGCGAGGAGGAGACGGCCGGCGCGACGGGCGCGGGCAACGCAGGTGTGGCCTCGCTGCCGGATGCTGGCGGTGAGAGCGTGGGCGGCGAGGCGATGACGGATTTGGCGACGACGATGGCGTCGGCAGATGGCGTGGAGGAGGTTGTGAACGGGCTGATCAACCCGGGCGGCTTCTCGCCGATCTACTGGGCGTGCGATGGGCTGCAGGCGCTGCAGGCTGCGTCGGGACTTCCGTGGTGGGCGACGATTGTGGCGACGACGGTGGCGGTGCGGACGGCGCTCCTGCCGTTTGCCATCAAGCAGATGAAGTTTACCGGGCGAGTCCAGCAGGTCCAGCCGAAGATCCAGTACCTGACAGCCAAGATGAAGGAGCACACGCCGGGCTCTGAGCTGCACAACATGTACGCCATCCAGCTGCGTGATCTCGTGCAGAAGCACGACGTGAACCCGCTCAAGATGTTCATGTTCCCGCTCATCCAGGCACCGGTCTTCATCTCGATGTTTATGGCGCTGCGGCGGCTTGCCGAGAACGGCACCTTTGTCGATGGCCTCACGTCCGGCGGCGCCCTGTGGTTCAGCGACCTCTCGGCAGCGGACCCGTACTACGTGCTCCCGCTGGTGGCCGGTGGCTCGTTCCTGGCCACGGTCGAGCTTGGCGCCGAGATGCCGAACGTGCAGCAGCGGTCGACGATGAAGAACGTCATGCGCGGCCTGGCGGTCGTCATGGTGGCGGCGACGTACTCGTTCCCGGCCTCGGTCTTTATGTACTGGATCAGCTCCAACTCGTTCTCGCTGGCGCAGGCTATGGCCTTCCGCGTTCCGGGCGTCAAGGACGCGCTTGGCATCCCGCCGCCGCCGGACCCGTCCAAGGCGCCGCCGATGCCGGCGTCGGCCGGGGCCCAGGACGCCGGCTCGGCCTTCCAGGAGCTCAAGGACGCGTTCAACAAGCAGAAGAGCCTTCGCGACGAGATCAAGTCGCGGACCGAGGCCCGTGAGGCCCGCAAGACGGCCGCCGACGAGCCGGCCGCCGCTGTCGCCTCGGCCGCCACCGGCCTCGACTCGGCCAACGCGCTGCACGCCGAGCCGGCTCCGGTCACCGACGTTCGCCCGGCCATGACGGCCGCCGAGATGCTGGCCGCTGGCGCGGCGACGCCGCCGGCCGCCACCGCCTCCGCGCAGCGCGTGATCAAGCGCGGCGGAACTCGCCACAACCCAACCAAGACCCGCGCCAAGGGCCGGTCGTACGGCCGCAAGCGCGGCAAGTAAAGAACAGCTGACGTGCTCGCCCGCTGCTGCTGCATCTCACTCGCGCTTGGCCACCCACGCGAGCATCCACTTGAGGTTGGTGAGCGTTTTCTTGCACGCCTTGGTCCACGACTCAACGGCGGAAAAGGTGGCAAGCTTGATGGAGAGCGAGTCGATGGTTGCGCCCTCGATCTGGTACGGGACCCGAAAGTTGGGGTCGATGCTCTCGATGTGGTCGCCGAGCTCCTTGAGGCAGACCAGAAAGGCGGCCATGGCCTTGTCGAAGCTCCGGTTGCCGAGCAGCCGCTTGGAGAAGCCCGAGGTGGAGCCAAAGAGCTCAAAGCCCGAGTGGTTCGGCTTGTCGTTGCGGTAGATGCGCGAGAACGAGCCCATGGGCTTGAGCGTGTACGCTGTAAAGGTGAACGAGGTCTTGCCCGCGAGCGTCCACAGGAGGAGCGCGGCCTGGCCCCAGGCGGCGTTGATCTCGTTCCACGAGACCGGTACGCTCGGCAGTCGCCCGAGGCGGAACGTGTTGATGGTTGCAAACTGGCCCTCGAACCAGATGTGGAACGTGTCGTTGTACACGTTGGTCATTTGCAGCTCTTTCAGTGCCGCATACGCCACCTCGGTCGCGTTCTCCACGCTCAGTCGCCGCGCCTCAAACTCGAGCACGCTCTCCTGAAACGCGTTGTACTCGAGCCAGAAGCTGGCCTCGAGCCCGTCGAGCTCGCTCACCTGCGCCTCAACCACCGCCGTCTCGCCGGCCACCGCTGCGGCTTCGGCCTCGGCCGCGGCCAGCTCGCGCTCCAGCTCCGCCTCTTCGACTTCGAGCGCCGCAAGCTCGGCCGCGTACGCCGCCTCGTCCTTGGAGTCGGCTGCAGCCGCCAGCTCGCGACGGAGGTAGCCGGCATACGCATCGCGAGTTCGCCCCGCCGCATCGATCTGCATCTGCAGCCGCGCCACCACCCCACCGGCGCACTCGCGGCACATCGGGTGCTCGTCGTCGCTCTGCAGCGACGCCAGCTCAAAGATCCGCCCGACTCGCCCGAGCTTGTCGGCAAACGACGCCACCGGCGCAAGCAGCGGCCGCGCATCGTTGTGGTCGACGGCGCACGCCACCTCGTCGTCCACCACCACGTACTCTTCGATATCGTCGTCGAGGACCGCAAGAAGCGAGAGTTTCGGCAGCTCGCCCGACGATGCACCCGCAGTCTCGCTCGCCTCGTCCTCCCGGCTCACGCCGGGCCGCGGCACCAGCTCCAGGCTCAGCAGCGAGTCGTGGACGTGGACCGGCCGCTTGCAGTGCTGGCAAGCAAAGACGTCGACACGCGGTGGCGCCGCACTCGCGCCAAACGCAGAGCCAGCAAGCCCGCTCGTTCCTCCGGGCGACGGTGTGTCGGTCCAGTGGACGCCGGCCGACGGCGAGTGCGAGACCGGCGTCCCCCACGAGCCGAGGACCGACGCCGGCGACGGTGCCGCCACAGCTGCGACGCTGCCGGCCACGCCAGGCCCGCCACCAGGCTCACCGCCGGTGGTCGGCACCGAGACGCCAACGGCAGGTCGTCTGTGGTCAGCAATGGCCACCCCGTCGCCCTGTCCGTCGCTGCTGTCACGAGCTACAGAAGCCATGCCGATGGAGAGCGGGGCGGTGGGGCGAAGAAGGTCGGCCGTCGAGTGCGTGGCCTTCCGTCCCGCGAGTCAGGCAATTCGTAGCTGAAAAGCAGCTCGGTGCGTCGAGGCAGCGGTGCGGCGCAACAGGGTCACACGGGCGGAACGCGACATCAAAAAAAGAGAGCCAGCACGGGAGAGAGAAACGATGTTTGCAAGGAGACATATTAGCGGTAAACGTTTTTCCTCGGCTGAATTGCTGATAATTTTTGACGAACGAAGAGTCAGCCGCACGGGAACCACTCCAATCAACGGGGTCATACTCAAGCCCTGTGGCCACGCATCGCAGAATGATGACGGAAAAACGATACGAGGGAGGTACAGACATGCTGAACATGCAGTCCCGCGTTAGTATGGCAGCACAACATTCGGCCAGTGCAAGATACCGGGTCTGAAGCACTGGGTGCGGCAACCGCTCGTGCGGAGATTATTGGCCGACCGAGCAACAAGGCGGCAGAGAGAAGAACGACGTGGCAACCATGTGCAACTCCCGCACCTTGTCAGAACACAGTCTAGCGGACACTCAGCACACTACAGACAAGCTGCAACCATAAACAGCTACGCACTACACACATAGTTGCGAGTGTGGCTCCAAAAGTGCCGCCAACAAGGCTCGTGGAGCAAAGTTCCAGCATTTCCTGGCAGCGAACAATTCACGCCGAAGGAACGTGGCGAATACGGAATGGCTTCCGGCTATTCCGGACAACGAGCAAGCCACGCATCCACCCGCGGCAAGGGCAGCGAGGGGGAGGAGCGAGGCACACTTCTCGCGCCCCGCGTCCCGTTTGTCGCTCCCCCTTTGCCCCATGTCGTCCAACGCCCCCGTACCGAACACACCTGCCTTCAACCCGCAGCAGTACTACCGTACGTCCTCCCCATGCTGCTGCACCCCGCCCCCCACGCCCCGCGGAGTGCGTCCGAACCGTGCTTGGCCAACTCCGCCACGTGTGGGCGCCTCACCCTGCGGCTCGTTCGAGTCATCCACCGCCGACCTGCGCGCCGCAGCACCCCCTCATGAGTACCAAGTACCCCCGCACCATGTTCGGGGTGCTTGGTTGGCCGCGGTGGGCTCTTCCGCGCAGCTACCTGCCTTGTGTGGCATGCCGTGCCAGGGGACGGACAATGCTGTTTTTTGGGCTGTTGCCAGCCTACTTTTTGGCCTGCCACCTGGCTCTCTCCTGGTATTGCCACAAAAAAACAACTACCAGCGGCTAAGGTCACGTGCTGACCATGCCCTCCCCCCCCGCTGCGGGAGTTGCTGCGGCACATGCGAGTTCCCTTCCGCGACAGCATGCACGTGCAAGTCACTCACCACCATTACCCCGCATGATGATTGCCTCTTTTAGAGCAAGTGTACATGCAGCAGCTTCAGGCGCAGATGGCTGCGGCCCACGCGGCCCACATGGCGCAGACCGGCCGGGCGAGCGAGACCAACTCGTCGGCGGCGGCGCCGGCGGCAGCGCGGCCGGGCGAGCCGCAGATGCAAGCCCTCTCTGCCGCTGCGCAAATGCAGGCCATGCAGCTTGCGGCGCCGCTTATGGTGTCGATGGCCAACGCGGCGCAGGCCGCGCAGGTCCAGCACGAGCGCAAGGGCAAGGTCCGCAACACTAGCCGCCGCGAGCGCGCGTCCAAGGCCGCGCCCTACACCACCTCGGGCCTCCAGCCGGGCCGCAAACTCTCGATGGCGCCACTCGAGCCCGAGACGGCCCAGGCGGCCACGTCGGCGCTGATGGACCAAAAGTCGCGCCGCGAGTACCACAAGCGTGCCGAAAAGAAGCGCCGGCTCAAGATCAACGAGCTCGTCCAGCAGCTCCGCTCGCTGCTGCCGAACCCGTCCAAGGTCGCCTTCCAGAAGCCGACCGTCTTCCAGCACGTTGCCAACTATGTCAAGGCGCTCAAGGCCCACCGCACGTTCCTCGAGGACGAGCTGGCACGGACAACCGAGATTGTCCTTGACGTCCAGACTGCCCTCAACGACCGCAACGACTACACCATCCGCAACGCATTCGAGGCTCAGAACATGGAGCTCAACGACCGCATCGTCGAGTTCAAGCCCTCGCTTGCCCGCAACCCGGACATCGACTACAACCGCTCGCCCTCGCCCGAGGAGACCAAGAACAACCCGACGGCCCTGCTCCGCAAGGCCAAGTACTCGGCCGTCAGCTCGGCTGCCGCCGCACGCCTCGCTCGCGGCCGCCCCACTGCTCGTACCCCGGTCTCCACCCCACCCAACGGCTCTGTCTCGGCGCTCGACACCCTCTCCTCCGCTGCCGAGGCCTCGTCGGCCTCTTAACTGTCTTTGGACCTCCCGCGTCCGCCTCCGCCTCCCACTCTCCTCCCTGGTTACAGTGCGCCTCCGAATTGCGTCTCTGGCCAGGTGAGGCTCAGTTGGGTTTCTTTCCTTTGATGGTGCCATCATCAGCGCACGTGCCCCCTTCTGTTACCTTGTGCAGCGATATTGAAGCTTCCAACCCCCCCCCCAACCCCCCCCCTACTCCTGTTGTCTCACTTACTTCGTTTGATCATGTCGCCAACTCGGAGAACGAACGCGAGAGACCTTCGATCGGCGAAAGCCGCATGGCGGCACTCCCGTTGTCATCGCCAGCGGCAAGGACCGAGTGCCCTGGTATGGTGCCAGCGGCGCTGGCGCCCGGGATTGGCATGGCGCCTGTTGGGGTGACCAGCATGCCCGGGTCGAGATCGACGCCGAGCGGCGAGACACCCTCCATGGTAGAGAGGTCGATGCCAAGGCCGTAGTCGCCGCCGGTGTCGAGCGTGCCGAGCTCGTCGTCCGACTCGGACGACGGCAGCACCTCGTGGCCAATGGCCATCGGCCGGCTCGAGCCCGACGACGGAGCACGGCTCCGCGCTGGGCTGGTCATCAGTGCCGACGACGCCTTGTTGTACAGCTCCGAGACGGTGCCGGTTGCCGTACCCAGGTCGACGCCGAGCGGCTGGTCGAACCCGGCGTGTCGCTGTTGGTAGGCCGAGAAAAGGCCGGCTCGCTCCGACGCCATCGAGTCGAGCGACGAGAGGACGTAGTCGGCTGCAAGGCCAAAGTTCCGCTTAAAGCTCGCCGCCGAGCCGGTGGGAATGGCCGAGATGAGGGCGGTCGACGACGGGCCGCCGCCGGAAGTGGTCCATGTCGACGGCGGGCCAAACAGCGCCCACCCGGCAGCTCCGAGACACCTGGCGACATCATTGCCTGATACCGCTCCTCGCGGTCGCGCTGCCGTTGGGCAGATCGGATGTCTTCGATGTTTTGCGGCGGCGACGCGGCCCTGGTACTGTCGCCTCCGCTCCTTTCTTCCCCGCCAATGCCGAGAGCCGACGGCCCGCCCGACTCGTCCATGCTCGTCAGCTCCGAAATGGCCGGCGACGTCGCCGCGCCCATCTTGCGTTTGCGCGAGGCCTGGGTAAACGCGTACTCGCCCGAGCCGCCGCTCCCAGTCAGGTCCAGCGGTGAGTCGACCGAGAAGAGGAACGGGTCGTTGACATCGCGGACACCCGCGAGACCCTCGCTCGAGGCTCCGCTTCCGCCGCCGGCCACCGAGCCGCCAAAAGTGAGTCTGCCCAGGCTCCGGCAGCGGCGGCGTCGCTGCCTGCACTCCCCCACTCCGGCCATGCTGCGATGCGATCTGGTAGAAGAGCGCCTTGAGACCCTGCTTGAGCAAGTGCTGCGACTCTTCCTGCGCCTGCACCACGGTCCACAGCTGCGCGTTGTCAGTTTGCAGCAGCTCGACTTGCTTGCGTAAGCTTCCATTGCTAGCTTGCAGCTCGGAAATCTCCGCCCACAACCGCTCGCGCTCAACCTCCCACGACTTGACCAGGCGCTCGATCGACTGCCCGGCGGCTCCCCGCACGCCGGCCTCGCCGCCAAGCTCAGCACCACCAGCCATGCCGGCAGCTCCCACGCCGACAGTCTTGCCTGGCCCGGCACGGGCCTCGCCGCTGGTACCCGCCTTGCCCGCCTTGCTCGCCTTGCCGCCGCCCCCGGCCGAGCTCGCCGGCACCCGCCGCGAGATGTGCGAGAGCAAATCCGGACGACCGCGCTGAAAGTAGGGATGCTGGAAGACAAACTGAGTCTCACCATCCTCAACAACGGTGCTCACTTTCTTGAAGTCGTAGGTGTACAGCTGGCGCTGGAAGGAGGAGAACCGCGAGTGGCGAAAGTACTTGTTGAAGACGTGCTTCTCCAGCTCGTAAGCCGAGAACACGGTGAACGTTGTTCCACCGTTTGACCAGCAGATCCATGCATCCGTCGCCGGATCCGAGACCATGTCAAAGACCGCCTCTGCAAAGACCGATCTCACGGGGCCCTTGCCCGAGCCCGAGCCCTTGCCCTTGCCCTTGCTCTTGCTCTTACTCGCCGACTTCTTCCCGTTTCCACCGTCATCGACGGCACTACCCTTGCCCATCTCTTCGACTTCTCCTCGACTTATTTCCCTTCGCAACCTCTCCGAAGCAATCTCCTCGCTGTGCTCTCTTGGGCGACCAGAGCCTTCTCTGCCGCGGACTCGCCTCGCGGTGTTCCGTCGGTCCCTCCGACCACTGGTGGTGGGGAGTGATAGGGAAGGTAGGTGGGTGGGTGGGGTGGGTGCAACACGGTACAACGGCGTGTGCTTGGTGTTTGTTCCGAGAGGAGTGTGGTCTAGATGGGTGGTGGGGATGGTGGTGGTGGTGGTGGGGAGGGGGAGGTGTGGGGAGGGGGGGAGGGGTGGGGAGGGGAGGGCCAGTGGTGTACGACTCTTTGGTGCGTCCAATTAATCAATCGTTCGTGAACAATGGAAGGTTGGGTGGGTGGCAGTCATGGTGGCGAGGCGAGGCGATGGCGACAAGGGAGGCATTTAGACAAGATCCATCATGGGCTTGGATTGGTTGGTTTGTGACTGGGCAAGCTAGGCTGACTAGCTAGGTGGAGCTTGAAAGTTAGAAGAAGCAGAGCTTGTGGTCGGCAGTGCGGGCCGGGCGGAGCTTGACCACGTGTGCGGCGCCGTCAAAGCCCTGGAAGACGCGGGCGTGCACAAACTCATCGCCGCCGACGGCAATGTTGAGGAAGTAGTTGACGCCGGCAACGGTCTGGGTCAGATACTCCTTGACCGAGTACTCCGAGTAGGCGTGATCGAGGCGCTCAATGTCTGCGCGGACGGCGTCAGCGACGGCCTGGGCCTTTTCGTCGCCGGGCTTGGGCGCCGAGGCGGCGCCGAAGCGGCCGTTGCCGTTGGCGCGCGGCGCCGGGGCGCCAAATCCAAAGCCGGTCCGGCGCGGAGCGCCAAAACCGTGCGGGGCCGGAGCCGGCGCGGGCGACGGAGCCGGCGCGGCCGAGCCGCTAAAGTACACCAGCGGGTCGTCTGCGGTCTTGCCGGTCTGGACGGCGGCGAGCTCGGCGTGACCCGAGAAGCCGACAAAGGCACGGACAAAGAGGAAACCGGCGTCGCCGGCATCGATCTTGAGGAAGTAGTTGGTACCAGCCACGGTCTGTGTGGCGTACTCGACAACCTTGAAGTTGTCGCCGTAGGTCGCGCACGTCTTGGCCTCGACGGCCTCCTGGACCGCGGCGGCGACGGCCTGGGCGGTGTCATCACCGGGCTTGACGCCCTTCATCCCGCCGAGCTTGGCTGGCTTGGCCGCCGGCAGGCCGGCATCATTCTGGAAGTACTCGAGCGCGTCGTCGCCGCTCTTGCCAGCCTGCACGGCCACCAGCTGGAGCGCACCGTTGAAGCCGCGGAAGACTCGGGCGTGGACATGGTCATCGCCGCGGTTGATCTTGAGAAAGAAGTTGGTGCCGGCGACGGTCTGGGTGGCGTACGAGACAACCGTGTGTTCCGCCGACACGCCGCCGAGCTTGGCGTCGATCGAAGCGCGGACAGCGTCGGCCACAGCCTGCGCAGTCGCGTCGCAGGGCTTGACACCCTTCATCCCACCGAGCTTGGCCGGCGCGCACGCCGCACCGCAGCACGACCCGATCGAGTCGTTCTGGAAGTAAACCAGCTGGTCGTCGGTGGTCTTGCCACTCTGAACCGCCACAAGCTGCAGCACACCGTCAAAGCCGCGGTAGATCCGCGCGTGGACCGCACTGCCCTCGCCGACGTCAATCTTGAGGAAGTAGTTGGTCCCGGCCACGTTCTGGGTCGCCATGTGGGTCACCTCAAACGTCTCGTACGTCTTGCCGGTCTTGGCCTCGATATCCTCCTTCATCGCCACGCCCACAGACTTGGCCATCTCGTCGGCAGCCTTGACCGCCTGCGTCCGCCCAGCACGGACAGGCGCAGCAGCAGCCGGCGCCGGCGCCATCAGTCCGAACCCAGACGCGATGTGGAAGCCACCGGCCGCAGGCGCGCTGTACACCCACAAATGCAGCACGGAGGAGTCACAGACACTGAATGAGTCACTTGCCGTCGTCGTCACCCTCTCCCCACAGCTCGCAGCGGCCTAAAAGAGGCAGAAACTTGCCACGCGTACCCCCCCTTCGCACCCTCGTCCTCCCCTCTCTGTCTGGTCACCCACACCACGCTTGCGGCCACTTACCCATAGGAAGTCATGGGATGGTTGTACGGGTACATGTTGAACAAGTTGCGACTGTGTGTTGAGCTTCCCGTGCTGTTTTTCCGCCACCAACCATGCGTAAGTGATTCTGCCGGGATCTGTCGTGTCGGAGAAAAAAAAAAGGAGAGTGCGACTGATGGGAGGAGGCGCAGCCAGCAACGGTTTGGCTCGGCCTCGGCTTGGCCCGGCTTGGTCCGGCTTGGTCCGGCTTGGCAACGTGCGGGGTGGGAAACAGCGCGAGAGGAATACGACCGCTTTTTTCTGTTGTACTGCAGGTAGGTAGGTATATTGGTATCTCATGCCCAGTGTGGAAGTCTCGGGGACCGGGACTGATTCCCTACTGTGTCGGTCGTGGCGGGGGGAGGGGGGGGGAGGGGGGAGGGGAGGGGGTGGCGGAGGGGCTGACTAGGTGGCGTGACCAGCCGCAGTAAGGGCATCGGTCTCAGGGCCTACGCAGCGAGTACACCCACAGCAACAGGTAGCCGTGGTGGTAGCGGGGGAGAGAGAGCATTCATATAAGGGAGGAGGGGAGGGGGTGTACCAATGAGCAAGAGAGGTGTGGTGTGCAGGTGAGAGGGGGAGGGAGTTAGGGGTCAGGCAGACGTTGGTGAGGCGTTGGCGTGTGACCGGACAAACGGTGGCTTCTCGGCTTCTTGGCTTGTTGGGGAAACGGCAGTCTGCCACGATGGCTGGCCACACAGAAGCACCACCACCACCACTTCCGCCACGGATCAGACACGATGCCATGATCTGATGCGGCGGACGGAGAAAGCTGATTGGATCCAGCTGGGAGGCCGGGCGCGGTGCTCAAGCTCCGCGTATCGCCACACATTCCCCTCGAGTCACATCCCCCTCGACACATGAATCGCAGTCTCCGATGACCATCTGCAACACCATACCTGTGTGCCATCCATGGACAAGATGGCGATGCCTGTGATCGTTGGCCCGATGAAGCTGGCGGCCCGATGCCCGGACCAGGTACGGACCGGACCAGCCAGGTACCACGGCGGCGACGACGACGATGCGAAGCCCGACCACCACACACACCTCACTTCCTCCACTGCCCATCCACCACTTGTACTCAACTTGTGCGCGGTATGGACGGGGTGCTACGAGGTGTGGTGCTGACCTCGCCGCCTCCGGCAGGGCGGGCAGGCGGAGGACGGACAGCTGCGGGTGGACACGGCGGGCTGCGGCAAGCAAGCGGAGGGCGGGCCAATGGCTGGCGCCCCGCTCCGGCAGTGACCAACCTGGGCATCCGTGACCTGGCCTTTGTCCGCAGAGTTGCCCTGTGCGAGGAGATCCGCAAGTCGCGACGTAGGTTGGGAGCGGGGGCGAAGACGGGGGGGGGGGGGGCGACGAGGAGACTCATGCAGGGCGGGAGGTGACGCGGGGGACAGCCAAGGTAGAGTCTGCGCTGGATCGGCACAAGCGATGGCTGGCAGCACTGGGAAAGTATCGCAAGGAGGCAGAGGGAAAGGCTGAAGTGCAGGAGAAGGAGGAGGCGATTCGGAGGGCACGGTTCAAGCAGCGCGAACATGCGAAGCGGATGGCGATTACAGGCCGCGAGGAGGAGGGGGAGGAGGAGAAGGAGGCTGACCAGGCGCCCGAGCATGCGGCCGATCAGGTGTCAGAGCCTGTAGATGGTGACAACGGCGTGGCGAGCGATGGTGAGCTGGAACTGGACGACGACGAGGCGGTGGACGACTTGCTCTCGTTTGCAGACGCGCTAGACTACGACCGCTACATGGGAGAGCTCGACATCAAGGCCGGCATCGAACAGCTCAAGACGCGGGCAGCGTACACAGCGGAGCATCCCGAGGCGGACGAGTCGGGACCTGCCAGTGAGCCTGGATCGGCAGGCGAGGGGAGCGAGTCGAGCGAGGCCGACGACGAGCCGTGCAAGGCCAACGCGGTGCCGGTTGTCAGCCAGCGCTCGCTGCTCACGTCGGCAGGAGTGAGCAGCGCGCTGACCTGGGTCTCGGACGACAAGTCAGCGACGGCGTCGGAGACCCGCGGCCCAGGATGGAATCCGTCGACTCGGATCGACAGCGGGGCCGGCGACGATGGCGGCGAGACCGATTCGGTTATGTCTGAGATGCGGAGAGTGCCTCAGCCGCTGCGGCAGAAGCACTCCAAGGCATCGCTGGCCCAAGTGGCGGCGCGGCTTGCGTCGGCTGCGTTTGAGCCAGACGCGCTGCGCAAGCACCTCCCGGTCCTGCTCCGGACCGACAAGACCAAGAGCCAGGCGCTGCTTTAGGACTCGGCGGCGGCCAGAGCAGCGTCGAAGGCTGCGCGCCCCTCGTCGGCGAGCTCGACCATGCGGTTGAACTCGGTGTTGACGCCGTCGTAAAACAGAATGGCGGCGACGGAGATCTTGAGCTTGCGGCCCATGGCCCGTCCGAGCCTGTTGCGCGAGAGCGCGTACACCAGCGGGATGCCGAGCTCGGCGGCCCTGGTGCGAATAAAGGCGATCTTGTCGTCCAGCCCACCGTCGGCTTCGACCTTTTCGATGTCGGGCGCGACAATGACGGCCTTGGCGGTCCCGACCTTGACAAACTTGACCACCTCGCGCAGCCCGGTCACCAGCCGCCGCTTGGCCTTGGTCGGATTGAGGACGCGGGCCCGCTCCTGCAGCCGCGACAGCTCCTTGAGCATGGGCGGGATTAGCCGGTTGAGCTCGGGTGGCACAAGCTGGTCCACATATTCGCGGTGGTTGTCCGGAAGCACTTGCGCGAGCGCCGGGCTCTTGGCGACCGCCACGTGCGCAAGCTGCAGCGCCTGTCCGATTCCGCGTTCCACGCTTGCGCCCCGGCCTCGCCTTTGCCCTTCCCCTTGGCCTTGGCCTTGCCCTTGGCGTCGCTCACCCGCGGCAGCAGCCGTGCCAGGAACATGCGCAGCGCCTCAGACTCGGCGCGCGCGGCCTCCTCGAGCTCTTCAGCGAGCTCCGACGAGGCGCCGTCGGCCATGCGCGCCACCTGGGCAGCTTCCAGCCCGGTCTCCAGCTCGGTAGCGATGGCGTCCTCGAGCTCGTTGGCCAGGCCGGTCTCGTCGCCAGAGTCTGGGTCAGAGCCCGCGTTTGAGCCTGCGTCAGAGCCCGCGTCGGAGCCAGAGCTGGAGCCTTCGAGCTCGGCGAGGAGCTGGGCGAAAGCTTCGATCTCGAGCAGCGGCTTGACCCATTCAAGGCCAGCATCGGGATCTGAATCTACCGCATCCGCTTTCTCATCAGGGCCGACGTCGGGGTCTGCATCGGGACCATTCTCGGCGGCGGCAGCCCGCAGGGCCTCCAGTAGACGGGCGCGCTCCGAGTTGACGACCTTCTTCAAAGTGGAGAGCCGCTTCTTGCGGCGGCGGACTTTGCCGCGGGTCTGCGACTTGGCGGTGAACGAGGTCGGCGCCGCCGCCGCCGATCGGGCCTGGCGCGCCTTGCGCTTGGACTCGGCCAGCTTTTGGCGGATGCCCATCTGCTTGCGGACTCGCTGACCAACGCGCTTGGTGATCTTAAAGTCCATCAGCGATATCTGGCCCGGGCCCGGCGCTGGCCGGCGCCGGGCCTCTGCCACTCCGCTCCCGCTGCTCCCGCCGCCGCCGCCGCCGCTGGTCTTGTTTCTCCGGCGCGGACGCCGCTTCCGCTTCTTTTTCCCGCTTCCGTCGTCTCCTCCGGCCGCCGCTGCCGGCTGCACAGCCGGGAGGCCCCACGCGTTGGTGGCCACCGCACGGTTGGGCGAAGCCTTGCTCGGCTGATCCGGCTGCGATCGCTGCGGAGGCGGCTGGCTCCAAGCCGACGGTTCGCCCTGCAGCTTGCGCGCCGCCGGCGATTTGTCCTGCGGCTTGCGCACCGCTGACGGCGGAGGAAACGCCGCATCTGAGAGCACAAAGTCAGGACTGTTCCCACGGCGGTCGCCATCAGGGCCACCTCGCCCGCGTCCTCGCCCTCGCCCTCGCCCTCGCCCTCGCCCTCCCCCTCCCCCTCGTCCTCCCCCTCGTCCTCTGCCTCGCCCTCTGCCTCGCCCTCCGCCTCGCCCTCCGCCTCGCCCTCCGCCTCGCCCTCCGCCTCGCCCTCCGCTGCGCTTGCCGCGGCGAGTCTGACCACGTCCCCGCTGCGGACGCTCAGCAGCAGGCACGGACTTGCGCTTGGCCACCACAGCCCATTCCGACTCGGCAGACATGTTTGCCCAGAAGGAGGGGAGGGAGATAGATAGAGAGATAGAGAGAGAGACGGGTGCGACTCAAGAGATGTACATTGCTCGCGAGCCCGACTGCCAGCCCCGCTGCATGCGGCCATCACAGCCATCACGGCCATGACGGCCATCGCTGTCCTTCCGCCGCTCATAGCAATCTCCCCAGACACCGTTACATACACTTCCTATACCGATGGCACCCCGATGGTACCCCCCTCCGGTGCTCCCCCCCCGCCCGGATGACACCCCCTTCCCACCCCGATGGCACCCCCCTCCGATGGCCCCCCCCCCCCCCCACCCCCCCCCCCAATGACCCCGCTAAAGTCCCGGGCCCGCCCGCCCCCCGCCCTCGCACGTGACCGCACGCAGACCATCCCGCCGCCACCACCAGACACACAGATACGCACACTCACATACATACATACATACATACATACACATATCATCATCACGCACCACTCCACCCCTGCCCACCACCACCACCTACCCTCCCCTACCCACCATGCCCTACCCTACCATGCGCAGCCTGCTCACCGACGCTGACTTGCCGACGGGAGACCACCTGGACGGAGCGTCGCTCTCGCTGGCGTGGTCTATCCCATTCTTCTCGCTGCTGCTCTCGATCTCGCTCCTGCCGCTCCTTGCGCCGCATGTGTGGCACAAGCACTATGGAGGCATTGCGGCTGGCCATGCCGCAGCCATGCTCCTGCCCATGATGGTGTTTGAGGACACGTCGGCAGTGGTCACCGAGGTCCTCGCCGCCCTCCTCCACGAGTACATCCCGTTCATCGCCATCATCTTCGCCCTCTTTGTCACGGCCGGGGGCATCCGCATCACCAATGCCGTGCCGCTGTCGGGCACTCCGTGGCAAAACGCTGCGATTCTGCTGTTCGGGACCTCGATCGCCAGCATCATCGGCACCACCGGCGCGAGCCTCCTGCTCGTCCGGCCGCTCATGCGCGGCAATGAGTGGCGTAGTCACAAGACACACATATTTGTCTACTTTATCTTTCTCGTGGCCAACATCGGCGGCTCGCTCTCGCCGCTCGGCGACCCGCCGCTCTTCCTCGGCTTTCTCAAGGGCGTCGACTTTCTCTGGTTCACCACCCACATGATCAAGCCGATGGCGACGCTTGTGGCGCTGCTCCTGCCGGGTTTTTTCGCCATGGACTGTTACTACTACTTCCGCAAGGAGGACCTTTCACTGGCGCCGTGGAACCGGGCAGGCGGGACGGAGGCGCGCAAGCCGCTCGCAGCTGAGCGTGGGACCGGCGGCCGCACCGAGGAGACCCCTCTGATGGGCGCTCCGACGGACGCGGTGGCGCTTGATCACGATCCGGACTCGGACGACGACGTCGGCGATGTTGCGCTCGACGAAGGCTTTGCCCACATGCCGCCGTCAGTCCGCACCGCGGCGGCGACCGGCGACTGGTCGAACGTCCCGATCCTCACGCGGGTGGCGGCATCGATCGACGGCTGGCGCAACATCCCGCTTGTTCTTCTCGTTCCGCTCACCATTCTCCTCACCGGCCTGTGGGAGATCGAGAACCCGCACGTGTTTACGGTCCATGACGTCCGCATGGACGCTGAAGACGTGGTCCGCGACGTTGTCCTCATCTCGATCGGCATTGTCTCGGTCCTCATCACGCCGGCCTCGACCCGCATCCTCAACGGCTTCTCGTGGTTCCCCATCGTAGAAGTCGCCAAGCTCTTCCTCGCCATTTTTATCACGATCATCCCGGCCGTGGCCATCCTCGAGGCCGGAACGCGCGGCGAGCTCTCGTTCATTGTCGAGGCCGTGACTGAGAACCACGAGCCGCACAACATGCGCTACTTTTGGTTCACCGGCGTCCTCTCCGCCTTTCTGGACAACGCGCCGACCTTTGTGATCTTCTTCAACGTCGCTGGCGGCGACGCCGACGTCCTCATGCACACCCTCACCACGACCCTCCTCGCCATCTCGTGCGGCTCGGTCTTTATGGGCGCAGGCACGCTCGTCGGCAACGCACCCAACCTCCTCGTCAAGTCGATTGTCGAGGACCGCGGCATCCGCATGCCCTCGTTCCTCATGTATATTGTCTGGGCCGTCCTCCTCCTCGTCCCCTCGCTCATCATTATGTCGTTTATCTTCTTCTGGTGATCCGTCTCCGGTCTCGAGTTTTGGCCTCGGCGCGCCCGCAATACCCGTTGTACCCGGTAGCTGCCATAGCGCGTGGCGGCTGGACCTGATGATGAACACGAACACGCACACTCTTCTACCACATGCCCCCCCCATCCATCGCCACCCTCCCCACCGAGCTCGTCCACCGCATCGCATTCGACACTTGCATCCTCTCCCCCCACGACGTTGTCGCCCTCGCATGCTCCTGTCGCGCCCTGCACGCCGCTGTTCTCGGCGACGACTACAGCCGTACCTGCTGCATGGCGCTGGCCGGCGTCTCTGCATGCCTAGCGGCTGGCTACCTGGCGGCTGCCCGCAAGGCACTGGCCGCGGCGGCGCCGCTGACAGCGATCGAGCTGGGAGGTGCGCTCACGCTCCTGCCGCTCTCGGGCGGTTGCACCCTTGATGCGCCTGACGGCGCTGCGCTCGTCCGGCTCCTCGCTCAAGCTGCTGTCGATGTCAGCTTTGAGGGCTTTGTGGTCGAGCTGGGTCGTCTCGCGGCGTCGCCGCAGACGCTGGCGATGGTTTTGGATGAGTTTCCGCTCGTGCGGCCGTCGGCAGACGACGCCATCGAGGTCATGAACGTGGCCATTGCATCTGTCGCCGAGGACGTCGCGCTCGATGTTGTCTCGGTGTTGATGGAGGCGGTCGACCAAGAGGCGCAAGCGTTCCACCTTGAGCGCGGGCATCCGCTGGCGACAGCAACTGTTCATGATGCACCCGCTGTGGTCGGCTACTTGCTCGATCTGCCGGCCATCAACACGAGGATGACTCCAGCGCACCTCGGGCAGCTGCTGTGGATGGCGATTGTAGGCGACGCCTCGTGCTGCCTCCCGCTCCTCCTCAACCATCCGCGGATGGAGCCGTCGGTCAACGGCAATCGCGCGCTGCGGGAAGCACTGGAACACAAGCGAGGCCGGTTTGTGGACGCCCTGCTCGCGCATCCGGAGCTTATAGTCGACGGGCCGCGGCAAGGAGCGATCCTGCTTGGTGTGGCGGCGCGCAGCGGCGATGTTAAGCTTGTAGCGCGGCTTGCGGAAGATTCACGGTTTGATCCTGGAGCTTCACGCTGCCACGCGCTGCGGGCAGCGGCTGGCGCTGGGCAGCTGGCGATTGTTAAGCAGCTGCTGACGTACCCTGGCGTGAGTGCCGGAGCGTGCAGCTCGAACGCGCTGTCAGAGGCAGCCGCTGGCGGCCACGTGTCCACAATCGCGTTCCTTCTCACCTGCGACGACGTCGACGTCACGGCGAACCTGCAGTCTCCGATCAGGCTGGCGGCCAAGAACGGCCAGCGCGAGGTCGTCGACCTGCTCCTGGCGCATCCGCTCGTTGACCCGGGCGCGGCCAACAACGCCGCACTCTTTGCTGCAGTCAAGCATGGCCACGCGTCGGTAGTGGAGCGGCTGCTGGCTGATGTGCGGGTCGATCCGGGGGCGGCTGGCAACGAAGCACTTCGCTTGGCGTTTCGCAGCGCGCGGCGAGTCATTGCGCAGCTCCTACTGAACCATCCGGACGTTGACGCCGGCGCCAACGATAACCTTGCGCTGCGAACAGCTGCTGCGTTTGGCCACGTCGACATGCTGGAGCTTCTTGTCGAACGATCTGACGTCGACCTCAGCATCAACCACTACGCCGCGCTCCGAATCGCTGCTGGCGCCCGCCGCGCTGACCTCACCGGCGACCTCCTTGACCTCGCGCCGCCGAGCGAGCCCGCTCTCCTGCTCCAGGTCTTTGAGCTCGCGCGTGACGATGATGCGCTTGACGTCGTCTCGGCCATTCTCGAGCATACACCCGCCACAAGCCTCACCTCCGAACTCCTCACCACCGCCATCGCTTCGTGCACGGCTGGGCAGGCGGCGGTTGCCCAGCTCATCGCCAGTAAACGCGATGCGCTCGTTTGGTCGCCTAGCCTGCTCTGATGAAGCACGTCACACTGATCGTCGCCGGCGGCGGGTGGGCCCCGACCGAGTTGGCCACGTTGTCTTGTCCGCCATGTCTCGCGCAATTACACGGCGTGCGTCGTCTGTGCCCAGCCTCACTGCACACGCGCACACACCAACGCGTCTGACGGTCAGATCGACAAGGCCTGCTATACACCCGCATCCACCGCGACTCTGATTACACGGCGTGCGTCGTCTGTGCCCAGCCTCACTGCACACGCGCACACACCAACGCGTCTGACGGTCAGATCGACAAGGCCTGCTATACACCCGCATCCACCGCGACTCTGCCTTTTTTCCCACGTGGTGTCCCATCTGTTCCACTTCTTTTCACACTCGGATTGCGCCCTTTCCCAGTCTGGGCCCTCGCGGGCGTGGCGAGCGAGCGATCGAGCGTGGTGGGTGGCGAATAGCGATGTGGGACTGTCCCAGGCGCCACCGCCACCACCACACAGGCCGACCACACGTCTCCGGCGGAGTTTGGGTGATGCGGACGAGTGAGTGCCCGGTGTCATGGGCCGAGGTGCCGGCGGGGGTGCTTGCTCCGGCGAGACAGCGGCGGAGTGGCGGAGTGGTGGGCGGGGGCGGGGGCAGGGCGGGTGGAAGCGGCGGGAGCGGCGGGCTGCGACAGGGCGGCAGCAGCGAGCATGGTGGCGGAGGACCGGTGGACCTGGGCTCGAGCGAGTTTGTGGCAGCGGCGTATCTGGCGGCGCACCATGGGCGGTCGAGCCAGGCACAGTTGGAGACGGTGGCGCTCTCGTTCCGCGACTCGCTGGAAGAGCAGACGGCGCATCTACAGGCGCTGGTGAAGGACAACTTTGGACGGTTTGTGGCGTGCCGGGCGTCTGTGGATGCGCTGGCAGCGGCGATGCGGGTGGATGTGGAGGGAGCGGGCGGCGAGTTGCCGACGCGAGCGGTGGAGGAGGCGTACGTGCGGCTCGAGGCGGGGCTGGGCGGGGCGCTGGACGAGGTGCTGGAGCGGGCGGACAACATTGCGGCGCGCAAGGAGCTGCAGGCTGTGCTGGCCAAGCACGCGGCGGTGCTGCGTGTGCCGGCGCGGATGGCAAAGGCGGCAGCGGCGCAGCATTATGAGCTTGTTGTGGCCGAGTACGGCAAGATGGTCCGCGGGGCTAGCGCCGGGCAGCTGAGCTCGTCGTTCTTTGTTCGCATCCTCAAGCAAGTGCTTCGGATACGCGACTCGGTGTGCGAGAAGCTTGGCAAACAGCTTGCGGGGCGGAGGGTGGGGGCTGGTGAGCAAGCGCGGCTGATTTCGACGCTGCTGCGGCTGGACGCTCGGCAGAATCCATTGGTGCTTGCGGTCAAGGTTGTGTCTGGCCGAGTGATGGAGGAGCTGGAGAGTGGGCAGCAGGCTGCGGGCCATGACGACAGCGGGCGACTTGGACTTGTGCGGCGCATCACCAGACTTATGCGCGAGGCTCTTCCATCGTTTGCGGCGCTCTGTGCGCTCACGACGGACCCGTCGTTTGTGGCGGAGGCTGCGGCGCGCGAGCGGTCGCGGGCGCGGCTTGAGGGAGTGGAGGCTGGCGAGTGTGGCGAGGGCGGGAGCGAGGGCAGCGAGGAGGCCAGCAGGGTGGTGGAGGCTGAGATGGAACGCGTTGTGGGGGGACTTGCGGATGCGCTCACGGAGGCGTTCTTCCCGTCTGTTGTTGTGCCGTCTGCGCTCTCGCGCGGCGAGTGTGTGCCTGCGACGCCTGATGGGGCGCTGTCCCCGGCCAACTCGTCAGCAAGTTTACAAGGCGGGACGGGAGCGGGGCGTGGGGGCGTTGGCAAGCTCCCGTTCCTTCAGGAGCTCCGTGTGCGGACGACGCGGCGGAAGGAGTTGCGGCCGTTTATGCACGGTGGGATCCAGCTTGTGGCCGGGGCGTACTCGGGGCTGCTTGCGGATGGGGTGTCCTCGGGAACGCTTGCGCCGCTCCTTGCAGTGCTTGACCGTGTGACGCGGTTTGTTGTCCGCAAAACGTGCGGCGAGATCAAGGGACGGGTGCGGCAGGTTGTGAGCGACCCGGCGCGGGCGTGGCAGCTTGCGCCTGACGATGACGTGCGACTGCTTGCGCTTGTTGCGGACGCGCGAGCAGTGCTTGTGGAGGGCTTTTCGCGACTGGCGGCTGTTGTTCCGCCGGACGCGGAGCTCAAGGCGATGCTGCGGGGGGCGGTGAGCGAGGCGCTGGCGCTTGTGCTCGACGGTGTGCACGGTCACGTGTTTGGCGGTGTTGGCGAGAGCGAGGTGGGCGGGCGGCGGGCGGAGGCCGGCAGTCCGCGGCTTGCAAGGCGCGGGCACTCGCGGAGCCGGAGCCGGAGCCGGAACCGTGTGGGCGGGCATCGTCGGGCGAGCTCGAGCGGCGGCGACGGGAGCAGGGTAGGCGAGAGAGAGATTGTGAGGGACAAGTGCGGTGTAGGTCGTGCGCGGCTGCTGATGGCGCTGGCGACGGTGGAGGCGTGCGCGGACGGGTACCTGGCGGAGAGTGCTGCAGCTGTGCTCTCGCACTTTCCGTGGGACGACGATGCGGGTAGCGAGGTTGCAGCGCTCGGTGTGGGCGCTGCGCGTGTGCTCTCTGAGCTTCTTGCGCGCGAGTACTGCCGGCTTGTGCACGCGCAGATGCGAGGGCTTGAGGAGCGCGACGAGGTGCTGGGTGTGGATGACACGGCGTGGCAGCCACGGCCTTGGGCACTGCACCTGCTGCTCGACCTTTCGCTTGCGCACCACGAGATAGTGAGCATTGCGCCGAAAGCGGTGGACGGATTGCTGACGACGCTCACGGCTGACGCGGGCGCAGTTATTCTTGGGTCGCTGGGCGAGCTTGTTGACGTGGACGCGGAGCGGTCTGTTGCGCTTGTGGAGCGTGTGCTGGCCAAGTACAGGAGTGCGGCGTCCGAGGCGCGGTTTGCGGCGGCCAAGGGCGGACTGAGGGCCGGGTTTGCGGCAGCGGCGCGGAGCGGCGAGGCGGACGACGACGACGACGACGGGCTCGACGACGAGACTGCGGTGGAGCGGTATGTGGCGGCAAACTGGATGCAGTTTCAGGCGTTTACGTGAGCGGAGAGCTACCAGCCGTCGAGCTCGTCGAGGATGGAACCTGCCATCGAGTCGCAGAGGGCGTTGAGCTGGGCAATCTTTGCGGCGCGTTCGTCTTGGGAGGCAGATGCAGCGGCAGCGGGAGTAGGAGCCGGCGAGACTGGGTTTTGAGCGGCAGCGTCGAGGTCGTGTGCCGGCTCCTGCTCGACAGGAGCAGGGGCCGGGTCCGCGGCCGGGGTTGGGGCCGGGGCCGGGGCCGGGGCCGGGGCCGGGGCCGGGGCCGAGTCCGAGTCCGAGTCTGAGTCCGAGTCCGAGGAAGATGCGGACGGGGATGGAGATGGAGATGAAGGTGCGGACGGAGCAGGGTCGTCTGCGGATGGAGTGACGGGGTCAACGGCAGCAGCGGTGGCAGCGGTGGCAGCGGTGGCAGCGGTGGCAGCGGTGGCAGCGGTGGATGCGGCAGGGAGGTCTGCGGGCAGAGGCTGCTGCTTGGAGTTGGAGTCAGAGTCGGAGTCGGGGTGCTTGGTCTTGGGCTTTGAGCCGCCGTCGAGGTAGCTTGCGACGGCGTTGTTGTATCTGTCTGTGGCGGTTGTGAGGAGCGAGTCGATGAGCGGAGCCTGGCGTGTGGTGAGGATGTAAAGAGGGCCCGAGTCCTTCTTGGCGCGTGCGCCTGCGGAGGAGGCCGGCTTGACGTTGATAGTGAGGAGGGTGTCTGTCGAGTCCCAGGAGGCGAGCTCGCGGAGGCCGATGAAGACCGAGTCTTTGTGCTGCTTCTTGTTGTGCAAGTGGACGCCGGCCTCGTTGACGCCGAGCAGGACGTCGTGCTTGGGGAGCTTGACAGGAGCACGCTTGGCCTTCTTGATGTCGACGGGAAAGTAGGAGGAGCCGTACGAGGGAAACTTGCGGACGATGGCGAGGTAGTCGAGCTTGATCTGAGTGCGGTCCTGGCCAGCAAAGGCCTTGTGGGCCTCAAGAACGTCGAGCTCCCAGTTGCGCTTCTTCAGCTTTTTGTCCTCGAGCAGGTGGCGCGGGATAAAGGCCGGGAGGCGCGAGGTGAGGAAGCCCGGGGTGTGAGTGGCCTCGTTGTGGTCGCCAAAGTCGGCCTGCATCTGCATGCCTGCAAGCTTGATGGTCTCGCGGACCGAGGTGACGGTGATGGAGTTGACGACCTCGTAGATGCCCTGGCGGTAGAGGAGATGGATGGCTGTGGGATCGTCGACCGACTTCTCTGCGGCCTTTGGGATGAGGCGTTGGCGCTTGAAGACAAACGAGACGATGGGCTCGTCGGGGTCCTTGATCTTGCGCGGCTTGCCGAGGTACTTGCGCTCTGTGTCGAGCCACGAGTCGCGGACGGTGGCGATGGTCTCGTCGGGCGAGAGGCAGAGCTCGAGGACGGGCGAGACAGCCCAGAAGGCGAACAGGTGCGTGGCGCGGAGGTCTAGCTTGTCTGCGGTGGCGGCGACCAGCTCTGCCACGGTGGTCTCTGGCTCGACACGCAAGGTCTTGTGCGAGCCGTCGACAAAGTGGACTTGCAGAAAGTCCATAGTGTGTAGGTGTGTGGGGTGTGTGTGGGGGGGTGGGGTGGGGTGGGGTGGGGTGGGGTGGGGTGGGGTAGGGGGGTGGGGTGGGGTGGTTGGGGGCTTCGGGCGAATTGGGTTGGGTGCATGCAGGGGTGGTTGCTTTTTGGGGCGAGGGGGGGGGGGGATGGGGTGGCTGATTGGATCGGTGGTGTGGCTGATTGGATCGGTCGGCGGGTTGGGTCGGCGGGTTGGGTCGGTGGGTCGGCTGGTTGGGTCGGCGGGTCGGCTGGTTGGGTCGGCTGGTTGGGTCGGCTGGTTGGGTCGGCGGGTCGGCTACGCGTCGTCGGTCGCCGGCTCACAGTCCCCCTCACGTCGTCCCCCTCCTCACCCCAGGCAGATTGCGTTGCGCGGAGCACTGCTCGCTCGGTCAGGAACGACGGGCGACGATGAACATGTCACGGGCGACGACGTCGTCTGCGCCGGCGCCGCCGGATAAGGGCTCGTTCCCGCTCGACCACTTTGGCGAGTGCCAGCCGGTCATGCGGGCGTATCTGCAGTGCCTGCAGGAGAATGGCGGCGAGACGCGCCTCTCGAAACGGTATCTGGAGTGTCGGATGCAGCGCGGGCTGAGGGGGAGAGGGAGGCGGGCGATCAGGGGGAGGGCGGGCCAAAGGCAGCGAGGGGGGCGAGGCGTGAGCTTGCCGATGGTGGCCGAGTCTGTGAGGAGGCCGGGGAGGAAGGAGGGAGCAAAGACCATGGCCATATTCTTGGCATCCATCTTTGTGGCCTCGACGCTCGCGGGATCCGAGGTAAAGGTGTAGAGGAAGCGGGCGAGGAACTCGATGATGTTCTGGTTGGCCTCGGGCAGCGAGTCGACAAGGGCGCGGGCGGTGGGCGGATCGGTGGCAGCGAGGGCGGCGTCGTAGTAGGAGGCGGGGACGAGCGGGACAAGGAGCTCGCGGAACCAGAGCTTGAAGGCGCCAGCAACCGAGGCGACGTCCGAGGCCGGCTCGGTGAGGATCTCTGGCAGCTTGCCAAAGTTTGCGGCCTCCTTGAGGCGCAGGATGTGGTCGGCATTGCCCGGGACGCGGAAGATGCCCTCGGTGGCGGCGGCGCCTAGGGCGAGCAGGCGGTCAGCGAGGAGGGCGAGAAGGACGGCACACCGTCGATGGGAAGCGGCAGGCCATGCTCTACAGCCAGCTCCATGTCGTTGCCGAGGGCGTCGACGAGATCAAGGTCGTAGACAGGGGTGAGATCTGCGGCCGACTCGAGCTGGAGGGAGACGGTGATGGAGCCGAGGCGGGGCGGGAGGTCGGTGGCGGCGCCCGGGACCAGGCGGAGGACCTTGGTCACCTTGCGGCCATGGGCAAGAGCCAGCAGCGGGAGTACGGCCTCGCCCATGGGATCGTTGTGGCCAAACTTGTCGTCGTCCTTGACCTCAAAGTGGACTCTGCCGGCGTGTGCAAGCGCGATGGAGCCCTCGGCGTCCCACCGTGGCTCGAGGGTCTTCTTGATGACGGGCGTCTTGAAGATGGCATCCGCTGCCTTGGCCTTGGCGGCCTTCTTCCCGCTCCCGGCCGGCGCAGTGGAGGGGCGACGGCGGAGGATGCCACAGGCGTCGGCGGGAGGGCGGTGACCTTGACGTAGGGGTCGGAGAGGCCGTTGGCGTCCTGCGCCAGCAGGCCTGTGCCGGAGACGACCACAACCCGCAGCGTACCCGAGTAGGTGAACAGGGTGGGCGTGTCGGACGGTGCTGCCATGGGGGGTGGGGGTGGGGGAGGGGGGAGGGTGGAGTGTCAGGTGCGTGGGTTTAGCGGAGCGGAGCGAAGCGAAGCGGAGCGAAGCGAAGCGAAGCGGAGCGAAGCGATGCGAAGCGATGCGAGGCGAAGCGAGGCGAGGCGAAGCGAGGCGAAGCAATGCGGAGCGAAGCGATGCGAGGCGAAGCGAGGCGAAGCAATGCGGAGCGAAGCGAAGCGAAGCGATGCGAAGCGATGCGAAGCGATGCGAGGCGAAGCGAAGCGGAGCGAAGCGAAGCGATGCGATGCGAAGCGATGCGAAGCGAGGCGAAGCAATGCGGAGCGAAGCGAAGCGAAGCGAAGCGAAGCGATGCGAAGCGATGCGAGGCGAAGCGAAGCGGAGCGAAGCGAAGCGATGCGATGCGATGCGATGCGAAGCGATGCGGAGCGAAGCGAAGCGAAGCGAAGCGATGCGATGCGAGGCGAAGCGAGGCGAAGCAATGCGGAGCGATGCGAGGCGAAGCGATGCGAAGCGATGCGATGCGAAGCGGAGATAGGGGAGGCGATGCGACGCGAAGCGATGCGATGCGAAGCGAAGCGAAGCGAAGCGAAGCGAAGCGAAGCGAAGCGATGCGATGCGAGGCGAAGCGAAGCGAAGCGAAGCGAAGCGAAGCGAAGCGAAGCGAAGCGAAGCGAAGCGAAGCGAAGCGAAGCGAAGCGAAGCGAAGCGATGCGATGCGAGGCGAAGCGAGGCGAAGCGAAGCGAAGCGAAGCGAAGCGAAGCGAAGCGAAGCGAAGCGATGCGAAGCGGAGATAGGGGAGGCGATGCGACGCGAAGCGATGCGATGCGAAGCGGAGCGAAGCGGAGCGAAGCGAAGCGATGCGATGCGAAGCGAGGCGAGGCGAAGCAATGCGAGGTGATGCGGAGCGATGCGAAGCGATGCGAAGCGATGCGGAGCAAAGCTAAGCGATGCGAAGCGAAGCGATGAGGGATGATAGGGGAGGAGGGGGGAGGGGGGGGGGGCTAGATGCGGCGGCAGGCCTAGATGCGTCGGTGGTGATGAGCGGTAGTGATGGGCAGTAGGATTAGTGGCGGGCGGCGGCAGCGGGCAGTAAGATTAGTGGCAGGCAGCGGTGGCGGGGGAGGGGGATTAGTGGCGGCGGCGGTAGCGGGCGGAGCGGTTGTCGTCATCGTCGTCATCGTCGTCGTCGTCAAAGTCGGGACGGAGGCGCGAGCACCGGTGAGGCCCATGGCCGAGGCGAGGAGGTAGATGATGAGGAGGCCAAAGGCGATGGAGGCGAGGGAGGAGAGCGAGTGGAAGATCTTGCTGTAGGTGTTGGCCATGCGGGCAAAGACGTCGTCCTCGTAGGCCATGCCGCGGATGTCGGCCAGGGCCGAGTCTCCACGCCGCGTCGATGCGGCGGTAGACATAGACGACGCCGGACCAGAAGACGCCCAGGTACAGCCACTCGAACCACCGCAGGTCGGTCACCCGTCCCATGCCTTGTCGCTGAGTTGGAGAGGAAGTGCGGTGTGTGTGTGTGGAACCGTCCTGGGCTCGCGGTCCTGCTGCTCAACGAGCTCGAGACTCAGCGGCGGGACCAGTCGGGCGGCGGGCGCTGGCCGGCGCATGGCCGCGCTTGGCCACGATCAAGGAGGAGATGGATTTTTCACGCTAGCATGGTCATTTTCCGCAGGCACGCTAGCGCTGTGTGCAGACGGAAGGCGTGGATGGATTGCTCATCAGCGGGCGATGGTCTCTACTACTTGCGCAGTGGCAGACGACGGCGGTTGGCGGCGGCGCGGCGCCTGGTGCGATCGTCCTCGATGAGGGCGAGGACACGGGCGCGCTCAAGCTCGGCTGCCGACGCGTCCTTGGCGGCGTGCTTCTTCTCGCGGGCAGCGCGCTCGGCAATGGCTGCCATGCGATCGGTGAGGATGGTGAGGGCGGTGGAAACGACGGCAACAGCGTCGCGGCGGACTTGCGCATCGGTGTCGGGTGAGCCGAACGGCCAGCGCAAGACCTCCTCGTGGTCCTCGACAACGCGGCGGAAGCCGGCGAGGTAAAGGTAGTCGACGCCGCCGTCAATGTCGGCGATACGAGCCTTGATCTTGTTCTGGCGAAGGCGGACGCGGTGGTACTTGACGATCGTCGGATACGTTGCGCAGCAGCGTGGTGAGGGTCTTGGCGCAGAGCTCTGCGCCCTCCTTGGAGTTGCTCCGGCCGAGGATCGAGTTGTTCAGCACCCGCCGCAGGCGAGTTGGCAGGTCCGCTGCCGGTGTCCGTGTCGCCGCCATCCCCTGCGGTTGCAATGTCTCGTTGGGAGAGGGGTGGAGGGGCTGGGGAGGGGGGAGGGGGCGGAAGGCGATGCAGGTGCGGGGCAGGGAAGGTATGGTTTTTGCCGTTTGTGCCGGGGCAGTGGCGGGAGGCGGGGAGGGGGGGGGGGGGGGGATTTGCGCGAGCTCGATTTGTTTTTCACTTTTTGGTGGCGGACGGGTGACGGCGATCGAGGCGAATTTCAAGGCGAGGGAGGACTTTGTCTGCCGAGTGTTGGAGGGTAGTACACAGCACTCCACGTAACGTCAAGACAGAACACACACACATTATGTCGACTGCCTGCACCGTGCGCACGTCCAAGTTCCTGACCAACGCCCTCCTCGGCCGTCGCCAGATGGTTGTGGACGTCATTCATCCTTCGCGGGCGTCGGTGCCCAAGACCGAGCTGCGTGAGGAGCTCGCCAAGAAGTACAACGTGGCCGACCCGTCGACCATCATCCTCTTCGGCTTCAAGATTGCCTTCGGTGGTGGCCGCTCCAAGGGCTTTGCCCTCATCTACGACGACGCCAAGGCCCGCGACGCCTTTGAGCCCAAGTACCGCCTCATCCGTGCCGGCCTCGCCACCGCCACCGAGTCGTCCCGCCGCCAGCGCAAGGAGCTCAAGAACAAGCTCAAGAAGGTCCGCGGTACCGCCAAGGCCCGCAAGTAAACCCAAGCCCAAACCCCAGCCTTGTCCCCTGCCGCCGTACCTGGCGCATTCCCCATGCCCAGCCCGTTCTGGCCCCCTGTCCTGTGTCTGCAATTTTACCAGAAATTGCCAGCCCAGTCGGCGGGGGTCAGTCGCCCAGCCGAGCCCAGCCCCCCTGGGCGCCAAGCCAGCATGATCGGCTGGCGTGGTCGGCCTGCGTAGTCGATCAGCCGCACACTCCCACCGCCCGAGGTCTCCCCGCCCGCCCGCCTCCCCTCATCCCCCCCCCCCCCCACCCCCCCCACCCCCACCCCCCCCCTTCCGCCCCCCCCCCCCCACGGCCCCGATCATAATCGATAACGACTGCGATCGATCATGATCGGGGTCCGTCGTCGGTGTCGGAGCCATCCCTCGCTCATTCGACGGGCACCCGACTCAGCGAGTGAAGCGGGATGCTTCGGACATGGACGCTGACGACGCTCCCGGGAGTGGCGGCGCTAGCGCGTGCTGGGTCGTCCCAGGCGCTGCCGGTGGTGGAGTATGTCTCGCACGCGGCGTTCCGGGCGGGCACGCTGTGCGAGGTGCCGACGTCGAGCGAGGCGGCACTGGTGGCGCGAGCGGCGTCCGGGGCGACCGAGACCATCCATCCGTCACAGGTGGTGGACGTGTGGCCTGCGCAGGCGTGGCCAGAGTCGCACGAGGCGTTTGCGGGCGACGCCGGTGCGGTGGACTCATTTCTGGCGACGGCGGCGCCCGGATCGCTCTCGCTCGAGCCGGTCTGGACGGCGCTCCTCGGGCAGTACAAGCACGCGCGGCTCCGGTCGCATGCGCTCGCGCGGATCCTGTGGCACTCGCGGAGCACGGCGGTGAGAGCTGTGCATCTCCACGCCGCCTTCCGACTCCTCGCGGACGATGATGTGTTCTTCAAGCGCGGGCTGCCGTACAAGTCGCCGCCGCGGCGGTCGCAGGCGGCGCTGCCGGACCTTCTTGCCGCTGCGGCCGGAGGTGGAGAGTGGGTGGCGCCCGGACGCGACGCAGCGGCTGCTGCGGCCACCGACGCGGCCATCGACTCGTTGCTCTTTGCGCAGCCGGGCAAGCGCGGGTATGCGCCGCGGTCGCGGCAGGCGGTGCGGACGTCGGACGCGCAGCGGTTCATGGCGACGGTCCGCGAGCGCATGGCACAGATCCGGCGCAAGGCGACGCCGCGGGCGTGGTCGCGGGCGCGTGACCTTCCACTGCTCTTGGCGCTGGAGACGTATGCGCTCGGGGCACCGTCGGGGGCGGGCGGAGGGTTCATGCGCGGGCGAGCGGGGCACACGGCGCGGTCCATCCTCCGCACGCTCGGCCTCGCGCAGGAGCCCAGCGCGGCGCGGCAGCTTCTTGTCGAGTGCGGGCATCTTGCGGCGGACGCGTCGCGGCCGGTCTCGGAGGCCGAGGCTGCGCTCCGTGACACGTTTCCACCGTTCCCGGCCGAGGTCAAGGCGGCGGCGGAGGCCGTGGAGGAAGCGGCAGCGGAGAGAGTGGTTGAGCTTGGCGCGCGGGTCGACCTCCGACACATTCCGGCGCTTGCGATTGACGCGCCGTCGGCGTCGATTGTGGACGACGCCATCGGGCTCGATCCGGCGAGCGGCGAGGTCCTCGTCCACGTGGCGGACCCGCTGCCGGCGATCGAGCTCGGGTCTGTGCTCGACTCTGCAGCGCACGCACGGATTGCGTCGTGCTACTTTCCGGGGGCGCCGCAGCACATGCTGCCGCCGCGCGGGCTCGCGGCGCTCGGCTTCCAGACTCAGCGTGCGACGTATGCGCTGACGGCGCGGATCCGACTTGAGCGCAACGGGAGGGTGGCTAGCTCGTCGCTCGAGCGGTCGCTGGTGGGCCCGGTGGAGCGGCTGTCGTTTGGCGAGGCCGACGAGGCGCTGCTTGACGGGGCGGAGCCGCTGCTGCCGCTGTACGGACGGGCGGCGGCGGCGCGGATGGCGCGGTCGCGGGCGAGCGGGCGGCACATTCCCAAGCACCGGCTGCTCGAGGAGCCTGCCAAGCTGCTGGTGCAAGAGTGCATGAACCTGGCAAACGCGCCTGCGGTGGGGTACGCGGCGGCGGCCGGTGTGCCGCTGCCAGGTGGGAGAGCGGCTACGATCACGTCACCGCTCCGGCGCTACCTCGACCTTGCTGCGCACCGCAACCTGCCGTGTGCGCTCGACGGCGGGGCTGGGCAGGCTGCAGACCCCGAGCCGGAGCTCCGCGAGCTCTATGCGTAAGACACCAACAAGACCAACTGGTCGAACATCGTCATCGCGCGGGCTTACTACTCGGATCTCCTC